AAGAGTGTCCTTTCAGTGTGTCTGTAAAATAAGTGCCTTCTGCATGTCAGGCTGAACATAATACCTGAGGGAGACAAGAAATTTATGTAATCAATACATTTCAATTCATTTTTCTTTTCCAAAATGGAAAGAAGTAATGATCTTCACTCCAGGCAAATAATGTCTATAGTCAAATACACAAATAAATAAATAAACAATTACTTACATAAATGAAGTGCTTTACTTAGTGTTTTCCTTTCAGATATGTAACACCTAGGAAGATAATAGCACCTTTCTGCTGGAAAATTTGGCTTCATTAATTGCAGTCTCTGGGACTGCTCTGTCTCTGACATTCATAACTATCTCTGATACTATTCAAGACTAGTTAAGCAAATTCCCTACATTTTCATATTGATACCACATGCTGTTTTAATGCCTGTAAAACACTTCTTCCTTTACGTGGATAATTAAACAAATACTTTTAATTGTATCATTAATAAATAAACCTGGAAAACTGACACAGGACGGTAAGAAATTCTCTTTTGTGACATCATAAATTAATGTTATTAGTTTTTCTGAGTTATAAGAGGATGTATTACGAACTTTGCAACCTTTATTTTTTTTAAACCTCTCTCTGTATAGTCATAGGATACTATACCATGACTGTGACTGGTTTCATATTTGTTCAGCAGTCCTCTTGTAATTCAAGAAATAAATTCTGTGGTATTGTGTTTAGTCTGTTTGTCGTTAGAAATCATTTAATCAACCTATTCTAGTATAAATATAACTTTCATACTCCTCTGGTGGTATGCTACTCTAACATTTCAAATTGCGAAAAGTGCATTATCTATATGAACGCATCTCCACTGTTTCTTTGTCTTTCCAGTTAAATGTTCTTAAGATGAGGATCTATCTCTGTTGGTCCTGTAGAGAGTTAATTTACTGACAGCCTTCAACTAGGTTATGATCACTGAGTGTCCATTAAGTTTAGTTTCACTTAGTGTGTGAATATGACTTTTGTCAACCTCATCTTTTCTCCCTAAAATCTTAAGTTGGTTGTCAATGACATTCATTGCCATGTTTCGCTTCATTTTTTTTCGTTCAAATCCTATTTACTGAGCATTGTGTGGCAATCTGGTAATCTCAGTTTCTGTAGTCTGTTCTTTGGAGCCCCTGTGTTTACTTCACTACGGATCCTCGTCGCAGCATTGATCCTTCCTTGGTGCTATTCTCACTCCACAAAGGCATGCACAGAAGTGAGACCTTTCATTCAGGTCCCCGACAAAGCCTTCAAATAAGCCAACCGTCATGAAAGCAAACCGCTTACTGGCTAACTCTGCTTTCATTTGTTCCCCACTCTCATTACAGTGTCAGCAGCAGCTCCTCTGCCCTGACATGAGTCTGTCCCTCTGGAATACTTATTTGCTGCTCCCTTTCTGTTTCTTTTCAGAGCTTACGACTCCATGAAAGCTCAAAATTATCTCTGTTGATTATGAATTTATTTCATTTCTAATCACATTAAGAAAAAAACTGGCAGAGAATTTTACTGAAACAAAGTTTTGGTATTTGTTTGGCTAAAGAGATGCTACAGAGAGTATGAAATATGTTTTCATAATAGTGTATGTGTTTCTGCTCTTGCCACTGGTGTTATGCCAATCCAGGTTGCACAGGGCCATTACAATTATTTAAGCAGGGTTATCCATCAGCAGAAGAAATGATGACACCTGATTTCCTTTGAATTTTTGTCCTCATTCCTCTTCCAATGATCATCCCAGCTCTGTCTAAAATCCCTTTGACACCCACATGTCCTGTACTGTGACAGGTTTGTGGCTGTTGACAGCTACTGAGCAGAGTATATAATGGCTGCGTTCTTGCCTTGCCCTCGGTTTAGGTCCTTCTCCTGTTTTCAGCTGCTGATCTTCATGTACTTTTGTAGGACTTTAATTGTCTGAGATCTCTGTCCTTCTTTCTAAATTAGATTGAAGTCAGTAGGGAAATTCAAGAACGACCTGCAGGGAACGGGAAAGGCAGTCAGCTCGGGTAGGGTTCCTTTGCATAAACATAGGTGGCCCGTGCCATTTTAGATACCCTCTGCCTCTGGTTGCTGTTCGGAAAGGCTGCGGATCTCCTGTAAGTCCTGTATGAAATTTTGTAGGCCTGTCTGGGCATCTCAGATACCCTAGGATGTTCTTTAAGTGGCATCAGATATCTGCTTTTAGGTATCTGAGTCGTACCCACAGAGAGATGGCATGATTGTATAAAACTGCTTTCCTTAGGAAACCGACCAATGTCAGTAGTATTGTACATCTTAGTGGGCAGACATCGTGGAGGAAGAAATGCTAAAATTTAGCTAAAATTTAAACTGCTTACTTCAGTAACTTGTGCATCCTGTAAAGGCTTAATTCATTAGTACATGAAAAAAAACATTAATGAGTTTCAGTCGGTGGTATATACTACTGTTTTTATTAAAACTTGTGAAGAATGTGTTCTGTATAAATGAGATGTATGCAAACATGGTTTCCTAAAGGTTGTTTATTTGAACTTTCTTTGCAGTGGTTTGGTGACCTTGTGACTCCAGTTTGGTGGGAGGATGTGTGGTTGAAAGAAGGTTTTGCTCACTATTTTGAATTTGTTGGGACAGACTACCTCTACCCAGGGTGGAACATGGTAAGTCAGTTTGATTTTGTTAATTCGGAGACTCCACAGAAAAGTTGCTCTGCTGTTATACTCCTGCTTTTGTTATAGACAGGGACTGCTGAAAAATACCAAATGATGCATGCAAGTATCAGATGTCCAATGAAGCAAAATCACTAGGTGTGAAATAATTTGACAGCATTCCAAAAGTATAATTTGCAATTTATTACAAAAGAAATAAGGTCATGTCTATCATAACCCAACATTGAAATAACTACTGTCTCTCTGCTCAGAAACATTTTTGGATTAAAGCAGTTATGATTTAACATGGACCATTTTTTAAAATATTCAGAATAATGAATTTTATCCACAAACACGAGATAAATTGCAAAGAAATGTTTGGCTAAAACATACTGTAAAACGGACCGTATTTTTTCTTACAGTATTCTGTTCTCCTCTCCCTAAGTTTAATCTTTTTATCTTCCTGCTATTATTTGGTCATCTGGCAGTACATACTAAGTTAACATGGGGTAAATAAATTGAGAATCTAGGTTTCAGTATGATTTCCAGCTGTACACTGTTGGACATGCTTTGTCAACTGGTGTGCAAATACTGGAGCTCTCTGAGGGCAAACTGGGAAGGCCATGCTGGGACATTCTTTTGCAGTCCTTTTGTTATATCGTATTGTATCGTGTCATATCATATCATATCTTACCTATTCAAGTCCCAGTTTATATCAGCTGCTGTAGTCTAGAAATATTATGCTTATAAGAAAAATAAGAGGTACGAGACCTCAGAACAAGGAAATTGTGTGTGAGTCCACGTTGAAGGTTGCTATATAGATTTTATTGTCCTTTGGAGAAATTTTTCGTATGTTATCCTTTTGTGTTTACACACGTTTAATTATGTGGCAAAATATTTGTTATAAATACAGATTGCCTGATAGAGATTTGTTGTAGCTTGAATGTTTTGCTTAAACTCTTGCATACTGACTTCCGAAATGTTTTTGCCCATTTCTGGGTGATTTATTGAGTATTCTTATCCCATTAACTTTTGTGTGCCATGAAATGAAGAGGCTATAATTATGAGTTAAAGCTAATTTTTTAAAATAGTTGTATATAGGTACTCTTGCTTTAGGTATGCTTCTTGTGAAGTTTGATTTCTTGGTAGTATTTTAATTTTTTCTTTTGGGTGTCAATTTTGGTTTATAATTGCATTATGAAAAGGAAAGTAAATTTTTATCTGAACTGACATCTGTCTTGCCTAGGTAGGCTTGTTGGGTTTACCTGGCTTTGGCTCTATTAAAACTCGTTCTCTTCATCTTTGTGAAAAACACATCCTGAATTGCAATGTAATGGTTCTAATTATGAATGCAATGAAATCTGGCAGGCCTTTATGATTTTAGCATAGTGAAATGTCATAGATGACAACGTTTATACACTGAATTTTATCTTCAAATCATCAGTCATTTGTTCTTCACATAATCAGTTTAACAAATCCAGAATAACTTTGCTTTAGAAGTAATTTGGAATATAGAATATTTGCTTGAGATTTCTGTGGAACGAATATAATGTTCACTGTTATGCAAATGACATGCCCATCACATGAAATCCTGGCGTCTTAGCACAACACAGGCAAAACGAATGTGTTGAACAAGGTATGACAGTTAAACTGGGAAATCAGACACGTGCTGCATAAATTAGAATTAACTACAGTAATATTGCTGTGCCTGAAAAAATACTAATCTGTCAAGTTTTTCCTTAAATTAAAAAGAAGGTGGACATTAACTTTTCATAAGGCTTTGGATATCATTGGCCTTTGATATAAAAATAACCATACTGACATATTTAAATAATTAGAAAATTGGTGGCAAGATGGAACATTTGATGAGTTAAAGATTTAAACATGCTGCATTCTTTGCAGACTAGGGTAGGAATCAATACTGTGATGTTTCAGCCTTATTACAGAGATTGTAGGAAGAGGAAGCAAAAGTTACAGTTACTGGAATTTGGCTTGCTGGATGTTTTTGTTATCGGTATAAAGCGCATTTGCTGTTTAGATCATACTGACATTTGTACACTTGAAAAAATAAAAAGTGAGCATTTATAAAAAGAAAAACTATTCCAAACAACTTATTTTTTTTTCAGAAGTGAAGGATACAGTACAAGCTTCATGCATCAGTTGCAAAAACAAGAGCTACAAACCTTATTTTCTGTAATGGTGGTTAAACAGAGCAATATTCCAGCATTCTGGGTGGTGTTTTGTCAGCAGTAATTCATACCTGTGAAATCAAAATAAAAGATGTTATGGTGTCTGTTACCACAGCTCTTTGCATCAGGAAAACAGAGTAATATGCCAAAATCCTCTTTCTTTCTAAAGAATTGGAAAAGTTAGACAGTTAACTTCTTTCTCTTGTAGTTCTGAAATGTTACCCTTGAAAGTTTCCTCAAGAAGCCCATAGACTAAAATGTCAAATTCAGCTTATTTTCAGCTTATAAAGATTTTTTTGTCACATTTTCTTTTGGATAAGTGTAGAAGCAGAAGACTGGTAGTCAATTCCAGAAAAAGGACTTTTGTCTGGAAATGCAACTTGGGCAATATGGATACATCTGAATCAAATGGATCTATCCACAGCTTCCTACCTGTGCTTACAGGCTACAGGCACATAAACTTTCACCATTAAGGCTCCATAAGCCCCTAAAGTTTTGCTGCTACTTGTCTGAAGATGCTCCTTAGCAGAGCTGAGCATTTTTCAGTGTCCATCTTATTTGGCGTTCACAGACTTGGTCTGGCTGAACCTGAGACTCTTGAGGAGAGCTATCCATTAGGCATGTTCACACCATTATAACTTAAACCAACAGCACTGAGTTCTGCAAAAAGCAGAGAGCCATGGGTTTTGTCTGAAACCTGTTTTCTGGCTTTTCCTTCTTCTCTAGGTTCTTTAGCTTGCTTAAACATTTCTTCCTCCTCTCAGGTTCTTGATTTTATCAGTTTTTCTTCAGATGTTTTATAGGCCCTTCTTTTACCGCAGGAAAGATTGATAGATAACAATTGACCAAGCTGCCATGGAGCTGTAACACTTTATTGGGCCTTCCAGCAGGTCTAGAATTTCTTGTGTTGTCCAAAAGGCATTTACATACTCCATCAGGCTTGCATAATCTTAGTGAGAAAGGAAATCCAGTCCTTATTAAACCCTTGCCATCCTTATGCCCTGGATCTTCCTATTAAAATTTTGAGTGAAGAACAGAATGAAGAGTCATTCTGATGGAAGCATCTATTATCCGTTGCAGTTAATATAAGATACATCAGAACTCTCCTGAGGAAGGGGACAAAGTTTTGTCTACTGTTGGTTTTAAAACGGGAAGGTGAGATTTCTGTGCCGAGATCCTTCATGGTTCCACCACTGGTCTTAATATGCTTTTTAAAATTTAAATTACTTCAAATCAAAGCTAGAAATTCTCATTTTCTTCCCTCAGCTAAAAAATAAGTCCCTGCATGTTACTTTTTACCTCTTGAAGGTGAAGCTACCTTTGATTTTGCAGGAAATATGTCCCTACTATACAGTCATTAGACATTTGCCATGGAAATGAATTCACCATTCTTCCCATTTCAGCCTCTTGCCTTGCCTATCCCTCAAATTAAAAGGTTTTTGAAATTCTTGTTCTGAAATGTCTCAAATTCTCATTCTTAATCTCATTCTTCAAGGTCTCAAAAGTTTAAACAATTGTTTCTGTGTTGGCAGGATGGTTTTAAAAAGAAAGCTGGCTCTGCAAACTGTTCCCCCCAGAGAATTTCCCTTGATCATGTGTGCTTAGAGCAGTCATCTGCATGTGAATTCCCAGGCTGTTGCTATTTCATGACGTAGAAGGAGATGCCGTTTCTGTATTAGAGGCTTACCATATAACTGTTTGGTTGTCTCTCTGTGCCATCAAAAAACATCAGCAGCTGGATCTAAGTTCTTAAGCTGTAAGATCTTATGACTGATACAAGGTAATCTCACCACTGTGGAAGGTGCCTCTGCTAGTTTTAGGATCAGAGAAAAGAGAAAATTAGAGCAGAAAACTGCATGCTGGTAATTTCCACTTCATAGCCCTGTCTTTTCTCATCTACCCTGCTCACCTTCCTCCTTTCAGAGGCCTGTTTGCAACTATATATTCCATCTTCCTCTCTGCTTGTTTCTGTCATTATCCTGAAGTACTTTGTATGTGGCTTTGTAAAGGAAGGAATTCAACTGAGGCTTACAGATCCAGGAATTTATTGACTGATCTTTTGCCTCCTTATTTTCTGGTAGAAGGAACCATCATGTTTGTCCTTGAATGTCTCTGGTATTGGGGTAGGTTTTGAGGACTATGACAGCAGGAGTCCTTGAATGTCTCTGGTATTGGGGTAGGTTTTGAGGACTCTGAAAGCAGGAATTACTGGCATGTAATTTTCCCTTTCATCCATCAAACGAGCGTCAAATACTTTAGCAGCCAGTACCCAGCTTGATGCTGAGAAAGCATTTCACGGAGCCCAGCTGCCTTCTCCCTTTTCTTTATTATATAAAAGTTAGCTTTGCTGACAACTTTATTGGCTGAGTCAAGGTGTAGTACATCAGTGATGGCTTTGAATCCTCTGCCTTCTCTATCCATTGAGGCTCTGGGATAAGATCTCCCACCTTCTTGTGTGCTTACTACTTTTATAATTAAAGATGGTCATATATGCCAGAAATTTTTAGTACTAAACAATTGTGTTTAAAGTATTTGGAGTAAAACTTCATGTCTACGTGGAAGGGCACTTTCATCTTTCTTAAAGTGAACGGTGCTTCCTTCACACTATTAGGTTTCACAGTCTAGATGATCCTGCCATTACTACAGGCAGCTGAAAATAATAACGAGTTTGCGTATCAACATATCTGTTTTAAAACTACGTGCTGCAAGAAATTATCTGTGCCTAAAAATTTAATAGAAAACCATTTAACTGAACTTCATTACATTAAGTACTTTGAACATCATGCAACATGCTGCCCAGATTCTTGATAAATGATCTTAATT